TACAGTGGCTCAGCTTGCCCTGAGCTCACGCCTGTCATCCCAGCACTTAGGCCAAGGCAGGAAGATTGCTTGAACCCAGGAGTTGGAGACCAGCCTGGGCAACATGGTGAAATCACATCTCTAAAAGCCAATATGGTGAAACCCCATCTTTACTAAAAATACAAAAAAAAAAAAAATTAGCCAGGTGTGGCACACGTCTGTAGTCCCAGCTACTTGGGAGGCTAAGGCAGAATTGCTTGAACCTGGGAGACCAAGGTTGCAGTGAGCCGAGATCGTGCCACTGCACTCCAGCCTGGGCGACAGAGCAAGATTCCATGTCAAAAAAAAAAAAAAAAAGCCAGGTGTGGTGGTGCACACCTGTAGTATTAGCTACTTGGGAGGCTGAGATAGGAGGATCGCTTGAGCCCAGAAGGTCGAGGCTGCAGTGAGCTGTGACACTACACTCCAGCCTGGGTGACAGAGTGAGACGCTGGCTCAAAAACAAACAAAAAAATTTCAGGGCTCCAGGGAGGGAGATAGCAAGTGCCAAGGCCCTGAGGTAGGATTGTCTCCAGAGTGTTTGAGGAAGATACAGTCAGCTGGCAGGGCAGAAGGAGGATGAACACGGGCTGAGAGGTGAGGGTGGATAGCGGGGATGTCAGAAAGGTTTTGAGGCCCGATCACGTAGGGCCACCCTTGTGGCAAGCCCTCGATAAGAGGGAGCTCTTCCACTTTAGACAAGGGTCCCAACTGGAATGTGCTGCAGTGAGTGGGTGTGGTTGGCCCCCATGATCTCCATCCCTGGGGTTACACCTTTGAATATCTTATATCAAATAGCAAAAGAAAATTCAGGTTATGGATGGAATTAAAATTGCTAATCAGTTGACTGATGGAATTAAGGTTGCTCATCAGTTGACCTTAAAATAGAGAGATGGTCCTGGATTATCTGGGTGGGCCCAGGGTCATGACATGGGCCCCTAAAAGTAGAAGAAGGAGGCAAGGGAGCGAGTCAGTGACAGAGACAGCCAAAGAGACAGGCAGAGGGAAGATGCAAACACGGAGTCCAGCTGCTGCTGCTGGATTTGAAGATGAAGGAAGGAGGCCACAAGCCAAGGAATGAGGGCAGCTCCTGATGCTAGGAACAGCCCTCGAGTGATAGCCAGCAAGGGAACGGGGCCTCAGTCCTACAACTGCAAGGGACTGAATTCTGTAGATAACCTGAATGAGCGAGGCAACGGAGCCCCTAGAGTCCCAGGAGCCTACTCACACCTTGATCTCCGCCTGCTGAGACCGGTTTCAGATGTGTGACCTACAGAACCGTACAGAAATAAATGTGTGTTCTTTTAACCTGCTAATTTTGTGATCGTGTATCATGGCAGCCATACAAAATGAACACAGTGCACAGTGGATAAAGAGGTGGGGTGTGCAGAGAGGAGGCAATCCAGAGGAGAGGGAGCAACCAGGCAGGAGCAGCCTGCTGGGAGCCACCACCGTGGGGCCACAGCTCCCCAGACACCCCCCAGACACCCCACTCAGGGCTCAGCACTGCCCTTCAGGCCCCTTGTTGCCCATGTCGTGACCAGGCTTGCTTAGTTTCTTTTTTTTTTTTCGTTTTGAGATGGAGTTTCACTCTTGTCACCCCAGCTAGAGTGCGATGGTGTGATCTCAGCTCACTGCAACCTCCGTCTCCTGGGTTCAAGTGATCCTCCTCAAGCCTGTATAGATGTCCCCAGGGCTCAGCCTCTAGGTCCTCAGGTCTGGACAAGGAGCAAACCCAGCGGAGGTCTTCCCATTCTTGACATCTCCCCTTAACCTCCTCTCCCCTAGGGCTGGTGACAATGGTCCTGGTGGAATAACCCTACCCCAAGCCAGCCAAAGCCACTGCTGGATCTGCTGACCCCTGAGGCTGGGTCTGGGCTCTGATTTATTCTCAGAACAGGTCTACACATATGTACATGTGCACACACACGTATACACACACACACACACACACACACACACACACACACACACATACTCCAGTTTCCTCTGTCTGCTCTTTGCAACCTCCTTCCATCCACCCAAGTCCTCAAGGCAGAGAGATCCTGCCTATTGACACCAAATGTGTGTTGAACGCTAACTCACATCAGGCGCCACGCTAAGTGTTCTACTCACATGATCTCATTTAATCTTTCCTGTCATCCTATCAGGTGGACACTATTGGCTTAGAGAGGTTAGGACGAGTACCTATTGTCACATAGCTGGTGAGTGGTAAATCCAGAATTAGAGCACACCGAAGCCCAGGCTCTAACCCTGACTACTCAAAATATGGTCCATGGTCCAGTAGTATCAGCATCCCAGGGGATCACGTTAGAGCTGCTCATCCCAGACCTGCTGAATCAGAACCTGCATGTTGACAAGTCCCCAGGTGACTCACCTACTAGTTTCCGTTTGGGACGCACTGGTCTAAACCACTGCTTTCCAAAGCCTGCAGGTTTCGGGTTCTTGCAACCAGCCCTCTCTCCATCTTTTAGTCCCTTCCAGGCTGCCTGCTTTTGCTCTCCAGGTGAGGCAGGCCCTCTGCCCAGCCTTGGGGAAGAACTCATGACATGGGGCTCAGAGGGATTCTCCAGGCCCCTACAGCCAGCCCAGATGACAGCTGGACAACATCAGTCTGGTCCTTTGTAGGGCACCCTGCCTGCCGCCCGAAACGCTCCTGGCCTCTCCCTCTGGTCTTCCGCCTGAACACAAGTCTCTCAGTTTCTGCCTGCTCTCCTCCAGGGGGCATCTGGCCATCACCAATCCATGTAGTGGTCCCCTCCCCAGGCATTTCCCTCCCCAACTCCTAGAATGCCCCCTGCGTCATGTCACCGCCTCTATCTGGACACACAGGGCCTGTCCAAGTTGCTGTCAGGAGAGAGGCCAGGGACTGCTTGGGAAACCTGGCCAAGGTCACAGGAAATGTCTGACACCACCAGGCAAGCAGGATTTGGTCTCCTAAAACAAAACACAGCTGAGCCAGCAGCTGGGCCAACAACAGGGCGCTCCCAGATTTCATAGCATTGAGGCCCCAGGGCACAGAGAGACTGGCTGGCCTAGAGGCTGCAGCTCATTAAGAACATCACATTAGCCCCTAGCCAGGGAGCCTGTGAAAGTCAAAGAGGACAGACCTGCTGTGGGCCAGAGACCTCACCCAGGACCTCGGCCCTCCACTGCCTGTCACATACAGGAAACCTTCACTAGGGGATGGAAGGCTCACATGGCATCCTCCTTGCCTCGCAGCCTCCCCTCTCCCCATCATTTATTTATCCTCAGTTATTTATCCATTTAACTTACAATGATTGAGCACAGAAGTGTGTCAGGCATGGTGTTAGGTACCAGGGACACATTCGTGAACGGGAGTCCCACCTGGACCCTCGGCCTGGACGGATCAGAACAAGGCACCACTGGCACTGCCCACCTGCTCACAGCCAATCCCAGGCCCTCACTGGGGCTCCTTAGCTCTGCTCTTTGTTTCTGCCCCAGCATCCCTGGGCCTTGGCTGCAGGGTTTGGCTCTTTTGCTCTTGACCTGGAGCTCCCTAGGCCCTTGACCTGAGTCCACCCTTTCTTTCTCCCTGCTCCTAGCTGCCCTTGGAAAACATCTGCTTGGGTGCCTGGGGTCTGGAGCCCAGCTCACCAAGACCCTTGTCTGCCTGACCTCACCCGTTCCCAGAGTTCCTGAATACCCTCAACCTCCTTTCTTTGCTCTCCTCCTACTCAGCCAGCCTCTCCTGACCTTTCCTGCTGAGACCTAACCTCAAGGTCAGCCTCCTCTTCCTGCTTCTCCTGGCCTCTGAGAGGGCAAATCCTCTTCCCCTTTATTTCAGCAAGGCAAGGTTGCAACATTTCAGAAAGAACTTCTTAAGTAGGAAGCGAATGGAAAAACTAACCTGAAAAATGAAAAGGAAAACACAGTCCCCTAGAAATGGACTGGTTTGTAAAGTTCAGATTTCCTGTCCTGAGCTAGAAAAAGTCTAGCCAGATTGGCTGGCAAGCAGGCCAGGGAATCCTGCCCAGAACACTCCCCTTGTTCACTTTTCTTTCTACTCCCGTCCCCAACACGATCCTTCTCCTCCCTTGTAAGGAGAGAGGCCGAAGCTGGGTGCTGAGGAAACTGAAGGGGCTTCTCTGGCAGAGTCCTTTCTATATCACAGGGACCACAGGTGGAGGAGGAGGCGGCCAGGGATGGAGTAGGGGATAACATGCATAAATAGCTTCCATATGTGCCAGGCACTGCTCTAAGCACTTTCCTTATATTTACTAATTTAATCTTTATTTATTTATTTTTGAGGCAGAGTCTTACTCTGTTGCCCAGGCTAGAGTGCAGTGGTGTGATCTTGGCTCACTGCAACCACCACCTCCTGGGTTCAAGAGATTCTCCTGCCTCAGCCTCCCAAGTAGCTGGGATTATGGGTGCCCACCACCAGGTCTGACTAATTTTTGTATTTTTAGTAGAGATGGGGTTTGACCGTCTTGGCCAGGCTGGTGTCGAACTCCTGGCCTCATGATCCACCCGTGTTGGCCTCCCAAAGTGCTGGGATTATAGGCGTGAGCCATCGCGCCCGGATGATTAATTTAATCTTTGCGACAATTCGTAACACAGGTATTATCATTGTTCCCACCTTACTGATGCAGAATCCGAGGCAGAGAGGTAAGTGACTCACCTGGGGTGGCCCACCTGGGAAATGGCAAAGCTAGGCTGTGAGCCAAGAGGCTGTGGTCCCAGGTACACGCCTTCCTCAGCTTTCTTTCAGGCACTCGAGGGCAAAGACTTCACTTCCCTCCTCTTTCCACCCTAGCCTGGCAACACCCATGCCAGCCTCAACACCTACTCTCCTGCTCATATCTCTGGACATGTGAGGGAGAGCCAAGGAGGGTGGGGAGGAGGGAAGGTGACTCTGAGGCTTCTCCACCAGACTTTACCAAGCCGTCTAAAGGAATAAGCCCCTCCAGAAAGATTCTGAGCCCCGGACTCCAAGCCCCACAGAGAAGGGGACTTACCCGGCCGGCGGTGACTGTGGTGCAGGCGGCTGTGCTCTGGCCACGGTGTCCTCTCCGGCCACACTGCTCCTGCGCTGGTTGGGTGAACGCTCGGCCCAGCGTCGAGGTGCCAGCCTGGAGTTCTGGGGGTCAAATTCCTCATCAGGAATGACCTCCTCACAGCGGACTCCACGGAAGCCGGAGCGGCAGACGCAGAGCTGAGGGCGGCTGCAGGAGCCCCGGTTCTGGCACGGTGGCTGGCACACGGCTGAGGACACAGGGAGAAAGGTGACAGCAGTGGCCACGGGGTGCTGAGACCACAGCTGCCCATACCTGCCTGTTAGAAGGGCCTGCTGAGTGCTGCTGATCCCATTGCTCAAGCAGGAAGCCACTCTCCTGGCCTCAGAGGGCTCCCTGACCCATGTCTCTCCCACTTTCATCCACAGTCCCCCAGGACGAGTTCACCTCTAATCTTTGGACAACCAAAGACTGTGTGGCCAGCTGCAGAGTGGCTCATGCCACCAGAGCCCACAGCACACCCTGAAGAGGAAGTACACGCCTGACACTGTGTTTACACTGAAACGTTCACTCCCACCAGACTGGAAGTCCCATGAGGGCAGCCCCAGAACTTAGAATAGGGACAGTCACAGAGTAGATTCTCAGTAAATATGGAGTGAATGAATGAATGAATGAGTCTCTTTTACAGAAAAGGGCCCAACATTGGCATGAAATTCAAGCAGTTTGAGTTGCTGGGGTTTTCCTGTCACTCATGAACTGTGTGGTCTTGACTTCACTGAGCCTCTATTTGCTCCTAAACCATGGGAGCAGTGAACTAAGGAGGTTGGAGAACTCTAAGGGTCCTTCAAAGGCATCTTCAACTTGACAGTCTCACCTCTCCTTCCATTGCTCTCCATCTCCCGCCCTCCTTAACAAGGCAGAACTCCCGACTATGGCTGGAGAAAGTCCAGTGGCCAGAACACAGCTACCAGCATCACAGCCTCTGCCGGCCAGGTAAGTCCCCTCCTCTGTGGGGCTTCTGTTCAGGGCTCAGGTTCTCTCTGGATTCTGCCTCCTGGGCTGTGGGTCCAGCTGGGGGCAAGGTGGAGCTGAAAACGGGCCCTCTTCCCGGTCAGCCCTATGCAGCATTAGCCACCAGCTCCCCAGGCTGACTCCTCTCTTCATTGTCCTTCATCCCCTTGCAAAGTCCACAGCCACATCCAGTGATACATGACCAAGGGAACATCCCACACAGAGGCACACACTGGGATGCAGTGTCCCGCCCCTCCCCCTCCAGGACCTCCATCAGGGAACACGTGTGAGCTGGGCAGCATGGTCTGGCTCACACTGGACCCTCAAAACCCAACACCTCATTCATCTGTCACTCATTCGTTCAATAAATAGCTGTTGAGCCCTAGTCAGTGCCAGGCACTGGGACAAAGTCCTTGTCTGCCTGGGGCTAGCAGTCGAGTGAAGGATACCAACAGGAAGCAAGGAAACAATAGCATGATGTGGCATCAGGCAGTTTCAAGGGCTGTGAAGACAATTAACCCAGGTGATGCAGAGGTCCAGGCCCAACCAGGAGACTCAGATGGGGTGGCCAGGGCACCTCTCTGAAGAGAGAGATGGGAGTATGCAAAGGAAGTGGACCCCCAAAGATCTGGGCAGTCTCCCAGGCAGAGGGCGAGGTGCAGACCAGGTGCTAGAGCCTGGAAGGAACATGGCACGCTTGAGGAGCCACCGGGACCCAGGGAGGCCGGGGTCTGGAGGCAGATCAGGCGTAGACAAGGTCAGTGAGGAAGCGGAGGCAGACACACAGACCCTGTCACCCCAGGGATCTTAAGTGCACCTGTGAAACTTCCAGGCACCGCTACCCAGATCAGGTGCCTGGGTTTTGTGAGCTGAACTCTCCTTTCGGAGAATAGTACCAGAATCCAAACCAGGGGCTGGCCTGGATAAACACCTCGAAAATTCCACATGGCCCATATCACAGAGACCTTCAATGGCTCCCTGGTATCTTCAAGATTCAAGTCCATAGACTAGCACTGAAGACTATCCTGGTCTGATCCCCTCTAACATTCCTCTAAGTCAGCCTGTTCCAGCCGAGCTGGCCTGCTGGCTGTAGCCCCAGGTAGCCTCTGCTCTGTCTTCTCTCTGTCTTTGCATGTGCTATGTCCTCTCTTCTTCTTTTCTTTCTTTCTTTTATTTTTTTCTTTTGAGACAGAGCCTTCCTCTGTCACCCAGGCTGGAGTGCAGTGGCACCACCTCAGCTCACTGCAACTTCCGCCTACCAGGTTCAAGTGATTCTCCTGCTTCAGCCTCCCAAGTAGCTGGGACTCCAGGTGCCTGCCACCATGCCCAGCTTTTTTGTGTATTTTTAGTAAAAATGGGGTTTCACTATGTTGGCCAGGATGGTCTCGAACTCCTGACCTTGTGATCCACCCACCTCGGCCTCCCAAAGTGCTGGGATTACAGGTATGAGCCACCGCGCCGGGCCCATTCTCTCTTCTTTCCCACTTCCTCTCCATTTACCTGACTCCTACTGATCCTTCAAGACCCACTTCCCCATCCTGGACACCCATCTCTCAGCAGCTGCTCCCTCCTTTGACCAACAGGAAAACACCTGCCATGTTCGCCCTCCACGGGGCATGCCTGCACGCTGCCGTTAGTTCTTTATGCACGTGTCTCAATTTCCTAACTCATTTAGCCAGCTCCTTGAAGTGTAGTGACTGTCTCTTAACCTCTTTGTATGTTTAGCTCCTAACATACACCTCACAATGACACGATTATTATTTTTATTACAGCAGCTGCTATCTGATGAGTGTTGACAACAGGCCTGGCACAGTGTCCTGCATACACGCTGTCACTGAGGCCTCTCAACAATCCTATGCAGCAGATGTGACTATGATTCCCATTTTATAGATAATGCTGCTGAAGCTCAGAGAGGGTAAGAGACTTGCCTGAGGTCACCCAGCTAGTTAATGGTGGAGCCAGGATTCAAATCCAGTTCTGTGCGATTGAGAAGCCCAGACTTTCCACCCTACTGACTCCCAGCTGGGTGGGGATGATTCTTCCTCTTCCTCTCTACCATCTCTGAGCTGTGGCCCAGAGCTGATACGGAAACAAAGGGATCTGTTGGCTTCAAATCAGCCACCAAATGCACCCTTGAGAACTCTGTCCTGAGAAAATGAACATCCCAATTGGCCTTGACAGTGGAGACCCCAGGACCCCACGCCCTTCCAAAGCCCACACAGAATTTTAAAGTAATGACGGAGGATGTACATCAGCTCATGGGTTTATCCAGTGAACTTTCATAGAGCGCGCACTGGGTGCGGAGTTTGTGATAGAGTCTCTAGCACACTGTTTGACACAGAAAGCAGAACACACAGGTTACAGGACAAGTGCTATGTCAACTGGACCCTCTAACCCAGGCTGGGGCACAGAGTAGGGAAAGTCAGGGAAGGCTTCTTGAAGGAGGTGATGCTGACCAGAGACACAAAGGATGAGTGAATTGGACATTGTGCACCAAGGGCCCTCAAAGACCAGTCTATCCTCAGAGAGGGAAGTAACCAGTTTACAGATTTCTTTTCTTTTTTTTTTTTTGAGATGGAGTCTCGCCCTGTCTCCCAGGCTGGAGGGCATTGGCATGATCTCAACTCACTATAACCTCTGCCTCCTGGGTTCAAGCGATTCTCCTGCCTCAGCCTCCTGAGTAGCTGGGATTACAGGCACACACCACCATGTCTGGCTAATTTTTGTATTTTTTAGCAGAGACGGAGTTTCACTATGTTGCTCAGGCTGGTCTTGAACTCCTGACCTCATGATCTGCCTGCCTCGGCCTCCCAAAGTGCTGGAATTACAGTCATGAGCCACCGCACCTGGCCAGTAACAGATTTTAATAGCATTCCAACCACAAGTTGGGCTCCAAGGCCAGAGCCTATTTCTCTGTGGCCAGGCACCTCTTCCTGGCAGGCCCCAGGCCTCTGGGTAAGCAGACCATGTCAGAGAATTATAACCCAGAGCACTTCCCCAAACACAAACTGCCACCACGGCAGGATTTTGGCCTGACCACCCCTCCATCTGCCCAAGCAGACTTAGCCTCCACCTGACCACCTGCCAGGCCCCTGTCACCACCACGACTGGAAACATGGTCAGCTGGGGCCAGCCCAGCAGCCATGCCAGTGCTAGGGAACATGGAGGAAGCAGACATGCCCAGAGCAGGTCTCGGCCTTGGTTTTATTTTTAGGGAGGGAATAGAAAGGGAAGGCCTGAGTGGTTTGCCACATGGGCCCATACCTCTCTGCCACAGAGACCCACAGCCTGGCGTGGGTGACAGGAAGGTCATGCTGCTTCCACCTCTGAGTGTGTGGTCCTTGCCCGGAGGACAGCCTTTGGAAAACAGTCTAGCTTCCATTTTTCCCCTCCTGAGCCCTGAGAACACACCATCCTTCACATTCACAGTAAGATCCTTCATACATATGGCCAACAAGTACATGAAAAAATGTTCAACATCACTCATCATCAGGGAAATGCAAATTAAAACCACTATGAGATACCACCCTATCACAGCCATAATGGCCATTACTAAAAAGTCACAAAACAATCGATGTTGGCATGGCCATGGTGAAAGGGAACACTTATACAGTGCTGATGGGAATGTAAATTTCCACCCTATGCAAAACAGTATGGAGATTTCTCCAAGAACCATTCAATCCAGCAATCCCATACTGAGTAAAGGCAAAGAAGTCATTCTATCAAAAAGATACCCACATGCATATGTTTATCGCAGCACAATTCACGATTGCAAAGATATGGAACCAACTTAAGTGCCCATCAACCAATGAGTGGATAAAGAAAATGTGGTGAAATCCTGTCTCCACTAAAAATACAAAAAATTAGCCGGGCATGGTGGCAGGTGCCTATAATCCCAGCTACTCAGGAGGCTGAGGCAGGAGAATCACTTGAACCTGGGAGTGAGCCAAGATCACGTCATTGCACTCCAGCCGGACAGAGTGAGACTCTACCTCCAAAAAAAAAAGAAAAAGAAAACGTGGTATATATACACCATGGAATATTACTCAGTCATAGAAAAGAATGAAATAATGTCTTTTTGCAGCAACTTGGATGGAGCTGGAGGCCATTATTGTAAGTGAAGTAGCTCAGGAATGGAAAACCAAATACCTCATGTCATCACTTCTAAGTGGGAGCTAAGCTATGGGTATGAAAAGGCATGGCTGGGTGCAGTGACTTACGCCTGTAATCCCAGCACTT